GCCGCCCCGGGGCAGGCGGCCCCAGGCCTACCGCCGGCACACTCCGGGGACCTCCGGGCGCCCCTGCGCGGCGTGTCGGTTGCTGGTTTTCACTGGGCGGGTCCGTGGACCCCGGGAAGGCTCCCCGGAAAGTCCGGGAGCAGAGCAGGCTGTTCGGAAGCCGGGAGTGCAGGGCCGGGCAGCCAATGGCTTGCGTGCTCCCGCGGTCCCTGAACCGAACCCGCAACCGTGCTGGTGCCCCACCTGCAGCTGTGGGTGGGAAGGCGGGATTCTTTCTTCCAGGGACCAGTGGGACCAGTTCTTTAACATGTTGCCTTGCTACAGTATTGTGTCTTAGACCTATCGACAGTTTGACTCTATTTCATTGAGTCCTCGCTTCCATCTTTGCGGCTTCCTTTCCTCTGCCCCACTTCCCCCCCACCCCGTGTGTGTGTGTACGTGCGCGTGTACGCACGCTTACCTGGTTTTCACTCCCAAGTAAGTGCCAACTTTAATCACAGCTCTTCAGGCAAGAAGGACTGTCCTCAAATAAATGCCTCCACCAGAGAGAAACCACTCATTCTCTCTCTCAGGTCCTCCCTGGTGATGAACTTAGGTGTCGTCCAATACCCTTCTTAAGAGCATCTAAACTGATTTTTTTCCTAAACCAAACTATCCTCTTCTAAAGCTTTCAAAAATTTCTGGTGACATCCAACTTCCTCTTACCACAGGGATGAAATATATTTTTCCTCTTCTTTCAGTCATATGATCTTTATTGATACATCACCTGATTTGATTAATGTGACTTTGGACAACATTGAACTTTTTGTTTAAATTTTACTTCACTTTTATTGCTAATGTTTCCAGAATTATATAGTTTATGGTTGGCTCTGAGAAGACTCAGAGCATTTGTTAATGCAGAACCTTTTGTGGAATTCATTGTGTGTTTATTTAAAATTCATTTGTTCACAGATGTACAAAGACACGTACAGTGCAGCACAAGGCATTTCAAGATACCGCTATACTTACAAGCTTCAGTGTTAAGAAACCCAAGTCATTTAGTCCGACTCTCTAATTTCACAAACCAAATAATTAAAATCCAAGATAAGTTAGGTGACTTGGTCTAATGTCACTCACCAAGCTGCCCATGATCCAGTAATGGAATAGCTGGTCCAGAAACCCAGAGCATTCTTTTTTCCTTCAAATCCACATTTTAACTTTATATGCTGCTATGGACTGAATGTTTGTATACCTCCCATTTCCCAAATTCGTATGTTGAAACCTTAACACCCAATGTGATAGTGTACATGTGTTAGGAGGTAGGACCTTTGGGAGTTAACAATTAGGTTGTGAGGGTGCAGCCCTCATAAATGGGATTAGCATCCTTATAAACAGATACACCTATCTCTCTGCTCTTGCTGTGTCAGGACACTGCAAAATGACTGTCCGCAAACCAGGAAGTGGGCCCTCACCAAACACTGTATCTGTTAGCTCCTTGATCTTACATTTTTTAGCCTCCAGACTGTGACAAATAAATGTGTGATGTTAAAGCCAGGCAATCTATGGCAATTTGTTACAGCAGCCCTAACTCACTAACATAGATACTTACAAATTGAGGTGTATTTTAAAAACTGTGCTCTTGCAAGGCGTTCAGTGTTTTTTAATTTCATTTACTTACAATGATTTCAGAAGATATTACAAAGACATTAATATAATTAAAGAATCAGACTTTTGTGAACAATGACATCATTAAAACAAGCTTGTTTTCGTTAACATGTCTAGATGAAGAAAGAGATGATCAATCAGTTTTCTTCATAACCAGGTTCACCATGGATTGGAAGGGTCTACCTTCCTTCCCACCAAGAAATTGCTGAAATCATAAGCTCCAGCTTCCATCAATGATGACAGGGTTCCCAGTTACATAGGCAGACTGCGGTGACAAATACAAGGAGACAGAACAATTAACCAGGTATGACGCAGGCTGTGCTTCCTGAGTTTTCCTATAATTAAGATAACTAAACAATTTTCTCTTGTTTTTCTTAAGAAATGAATTTAGAAAAATCTAAATTAAAGTTTAGATGATTTAGATGTTGAACATCTGAATGTTGTGACCCAGAGCTAAGTGGCCATTGGCTGGTGTCTGAGCAGGTATCACAGTCTAAGCAGGGTCTGTTAGGACTGTTCTCAGAATCACAAAACTAAGGAGTAGTGATGTATAGCCATTCCCCAAATTAGGATAAAAGTACAGGCTAAAATAGCACATTTCAGTTTGAAACTCAGAACTATTCAAAACTAGCTGAATTTTGTTCCACCATTAAACTTTGAACATAAATGTGTCGGTCATGTTAATGACTGAACAGATTTTTTAAAAAAGGTATGTTATATTTAGTTGATAGATATACATAGGGAATTTCAGGAGCTAAAGCATACTAAATGTGTTTTTAAAATTTACATGAATAATAATGATAATTATCATCTATTCAGCTATGAAAAAATATTCTATACTAGTTTCAGACACCCAAATCTGTATAAAATATATATAATATATAATATTTTATGTAATATTTACAATCTTTTCTATAATATTTTATTTATTACTTTCATACAATTAAGAGATTTATGAAAGTAATTACTCTTTTAGTCCCCATGGGTTTTTCATTTTCCAAAGAATTACAGCTGATCCTTTTGGTAGAAGTTTAAAAATATTCTAACTGAAAATGAATAAAGAAGACTCAAATTTGTGTTCGTAGTTCTAAATTCATCTAAAATCTAAAATAATCAAAGAAGGAGGAAAAGACATCATAAAATGAGTACAAAAGTTTTAAAAGTTCAACATGTAAAAGCTGATAATACACAGTAGATAAACTAGGAGGCTGTCACTTTACCAAAGAAAGAACCCAAGTCCTCCAAGTTCTTTTAAAAGATAAGCTCTTGGCTCGGCGCCTGTAGCTCAAGTGGCTAGCGTGCCAGCCACTTACGCCAGAGCTGGCAGGTTCGAATCCAGCCCCGGCCTGCCAAACAACAACGACGACTACAACCAAAAAAATAGCTGGGTGTTGTAGTGGGTGCCTGTAGTCCCAGCTACTTTGGAGGCTGACGCAAGAGAATCACTTAAGCCCAAGAGTTTGAGGTTGCTGTGAGCTGTGACACCACAGCACTCCACCCAGAGCAACAGCTTGAGACTCTGCCTCAAAAAAAAAAAAAAAAAGACAAGCTCTCTGTTACACATCTGACTCCTCTTGGCTCCTCTAAAAATCCAAAGGTCCCTTTGTTGCACATTTCAAGCCAGGACATTTCCAAATATTTGGTGACCTAAACTCTGGCTAAGCAAGGGTAATTTAGCTTATCAGCAGTGCCCCAAATCAAATGAGCTCTTCTGAAGGTATGAATTCAGAGAAATCATAAAGGTTAATGTGCTTTTCCATCAGTAATTTATCCAGCTGTTAACGACTGTTGTTAATACAGGGTGCCTCAAAAGTCAGCAGACATAGGGAAAATGGGAAATGGTAGCTAACTATACTTTTATTTATAAAATATTCATTACAAAATTCCAAGACAGCTGCTGTTATGCAATTTTTCCTACATAGGGAGACGTTTGGAACGCCCTGTAATTCTGAGAAGTAACTGCGGTGTGACTCAGACAGTGCATCCCCTGTATCTGTCACATTCACTTGCCACCTGGTGTGGTGCACGAGCGAGCAGTAACATACCCCTCACTCTTACCTACTGCCCTTTCCTTCTTTCTGTTCAGACATTATAGTTCCCTGATTATGGAGTATTCCAAGACATAAAACAGAGGAGGATGTTCTGTGCTCCGCACTTTATAAACAGTCCTTGCCTTCGGTTCTGTGCCACTTAAGAATGTACAATGGACATTAAGGAAGCAAATGGTTACTAAGCAATGCAAAGTGGAAGAGACAGAATGAGGAATTTCCACAGATGACAGATGAGAATAGAAAAAAAGGAGCCAGTGAAATTCTCCCAAATAAGTCACTGGTAAAACTAAAGACATCACATGCCAACTCTGTGTCCCCTGGACACAGTTATATTTGCTTAACCCTCTCCCCATTTTACCTCTTGTAATCCTGGAGGTTCAGTGGTTTGAATTCTATTTAATCAGGGTTTCTCCAGTTGTAATTTTTGAAAGTAACTATCTCTCAGAAAATTGAGAACTTTAATGTTTGCAGTCCTTCATTTTGTTTGCTACAAGATTTCATGACATGTAAGACTAAATGAGGAAGAATCTGGCTCAGATCAAAGTGGCCTTTCTATCGGCAAACTGAATCAGAACTTATCCCTATTTTATAAATGTAGCATCTTAGCATATATATGCCATAAACTCTCTAAAACGAAATTATTTTGATGAGCAAATTGTAGCCAAATGAGATTGAGGATAACGAACTCCTTGGGGAGAATAGTGCTTACTTCATCAGAAGCCAAATACACACACAGCATGGCTACTTCCTCCGCAGTGGCAAATCTTCCCGTCTTTTGTCTCTTCAGGAAGTCCTTCTGTGCCTGTGATCAAAGACCATACCAAACATCAGTGATGGCGCTGCCATATGTGTTCACCTGTGCCTCCTTCTGGGCGTCCAAAGCAAGAGGAACCACTGGCTTATTGCCCAAACAAACCATCAATCAGGGTTATGGTCACTCAAAATAGTTTGCCCCAACATAAACTATTAGTAAAATGCACTAATATTGTGACAGGTCAAGGTGATATTACTTCCTGCTATTAAAGACGAGGGCATTTTGTTTTCATTTTTAAAAATCGTGGCAAAATATATGTAACATAAAATTTACCATAATGTAATATAATCTAATTAGATTACCAAAATCTAATGTAAGTGTGGAGTTCAATAGAGTTTAAACACATTACATTGGGTGGCACCTGTAGCTCAGTGGGTAGGGCGCCGGCCCCATACACCAAGGCTAGTGGGTTGGAAACCTGCCTGGGCCTTGGGCAGCGCCTGTGGCCCAGTGAGTAGGGTGCTGGCTCCATATACCAAGGGTGATGGGTTCAAACCCGGCCCCAGCCAAACTGCAACAAAAAAATAGCCAGGTTATTGCCTGTAGTCCCAGGTACTTGGAAGGCTGAGGCAAGAGAATCACCTAAGCCCAAGAGCTGGAGGTTGCTGTGAGCTATGAGGCTACAGTATTCTACCAAGGGTGACAACAACAAAAACAAAATAGATGGGCGGCAGGCGCCTGTAGTCCCAGCTACTTGGGAGGCTGAGGCAAGAGAATTGCTTAAGCCCAGGAGTTTGAGGTTGCTGTGAGCTGTGACACCACGGCACTCTACCCAGGGAGACAGCTTGAGACTCTGTCTCAAACAAACAAACAAACGAACAAAAAAAACCCACATTACATTGTTGTGCCACCACCACCACTGTCTCCAGAATTCTCTTCATCTTGCAAAACTGAAACTCTACACTCATTAAGCAAGAACTCCCTGTTTTCCCCTCCCCTAACCCCTGGCAACAACCATTCTACTTTCTGTCTCTATACATTTATCTGTTGTATATAAGGAAGGCGGTATTTTTTTAACCGAAAAGTTTAAACACATTTAAAATGCTAGATGTACCTCTTCAGGATTTAGTCTGACTTGTATTCTTTCTTGCAGAGATGGGGTATCAACTGTTCCTAAATCAAAGGGGGACATTCAGCTTGGTTATTTACTTAAACTGAAAAAGAAATTAATAATCAAACTTTCCACTTCCTTTTTATGTAACGATCAGTGAAATCCTTCTCCTTGACTTAAAATGATCATTTTACCTTTGTCTGCCTGACATCTTATTTAATACGCTTGTAACTTCCTTAACATTTCTATGATTTTTAACAACCCTGACTACGAATTTTTTGTGATATGATATGAGGGTGAATCATCCCACATTCTGAAGGATAAATATTTTCATCCCATTGCATTTATATGATGCTTTATGGATTTTGAGCACTTTTCGATGTATTATCTCAGCCAATCCTTATAACCCTGAGGTATAGATAAAATCATACAAGCACTTTACCAGTACAAAACTATTCTCTGCTTTGAGATTTACTATGGGGATCCTTGGAGACAATTCCATGGCTGCCACGGTCCTCTGTAATTTCTATGCTTCTAAATTTTCCTCATCACCTCTTGCCTATTTTCACTGGGTTCAAATTCCTATTTTTAACCTTGGTTTCAAGTTCTTAATCAAAAAAAAGATTTAAGTTGTTTAACAAAGAAAAATAAGAACAATGTTAACATTTTTAAAAATTCCATTTAGTTCTTATTCCTCTAGAGCTAGTTCCCCAGACTTTTTTGTTAATTCGTATAATACATGCATTCTCTGTAGAGGTCCTTTTTGTCAGATTGAATAGTACTATGAAGAATCATGAGCTCTCTGAGACCCTCAGCTTCTTCTTTACATCATGTCTGAGTGTGTCACTTCTGATCTTTACTCAGAAATCATTTCTTAACTTTAGCATCATTTGTCATTTTTCTGGAGAAGCTGGGAATCTTTAATCAGTAGACCCCACTCCTTTTCGGAGCCCCTTCTTTAGGTTACCTCTCTCTTCTCACATTTTACTATAAGCAGGCAGCACTTTCAACCTGGGTGGAAAATGCCTTAGCTAGATCAGCAAGGTCACGAGGAACACTTTCTGTCTTTCCATCCCTTCCGGCAACAATGTTGATAACCTCTCTGAAACTACATAACAAAGATCCCTTTTTATCCAGTTTCCGATACTATTTTCACCACCTCCCTCATCAACAGCCTCCTTAATGTCCCAAATATTACCAGCAATGTGCACTCTGAGCTTTCACTAACTCTGTCCCGCATCCCTACAGTTTTCACAGCATCCTCCCACTGAGGTAAATGAGCATCATATTTTGTGTATGGCTGGTACTCATGTCTATTCAACGAAAACCATAGAGCGAGCTCATGCCCTTAGAGGACCTCCACTGTCCCTGGACTCTGCTGTGTCCATGGCACAGACCGCCAGACCCTGCCATAGTCTACATAAATCTGGTTGAAGATTCCTGACTGTACGATCATCAGCGCCATCCCAGACATTTCTTACATTTTCTATAGTGACTGGTTCAGTGAGTCACAGACAGTTCCTTGTCCCATAGAATTTGCTAGCATATTTTCCAATCTTCTGATAAGTTCAGCTGCTGAAACAACCACATTTTCCAAATCAGTTTGCCATTTATTCCACTAGGTAAAGGGCACCAAGAATAGCTCGACTCAAGTATCAGGGTACATCTGTCCCAGTGAAATTCTCTCTCCTATATTCTCCTTTTTCTTAGTGTTACCTGTGTTTACTATTCCGACTCCAAGGAAAATAGAACATCTCAATCACTGAAATTCTGTAGGTTGCAGGATATTTAGTTTTCCCTCTTTCAGTTAGTGGTTTTCAGCCCAGGATTCAGTCACATCTCCTGCAGGACTTTCTAAATGACAGTTATCTCACCAACTCCTTCCCTGAACTCTGGCATGTCCTTCATGTTTGGAAAGGTCCCACAGGTAATTCTGAAGCGCTCCCCTCCACAACCTGCAATGTTAAGTTGTGAACTTCTGAGGGAAACCTGGATCCTGGATACGCAATGTTTCATTTCTTTTTGGAGGACATCAATAATCCTTATTAGGCACCTTATTTTCAGTTTAAATAGGTAGAACCATGTGTGCACCTACTTGGTTACTAAGAAATCACTGTAGACACACAAACAGTTACTGAAAAAAGGAAAGTTCTGCTTTTCTTCTTTCCTTTATATGAGGGATCAGAGGAATCAGGATTCCTTTTTGATAAAGAGCAAGACAACAAGTGTTTTGGCTTTGAGAGCCATTTGATCTGCCATTGTAGCATGAAAACAGTCACAGATAATACATAGCAAATTGGGTGCTAATGTGTTTCAATAAAACTTTATTTACACAACAGGCAGTAGCCCAGATTTGGCTGGTAGGTGATAGTTTGCTAACCCCCTTTTACAGCATAAAGGAAGGTCAATACTTTTTTTTTAATTTATGGGCCACCCCAGGTAATTTATGACTCTAGTAAATCCCTGTGTTCTGGGAAGCTCCCCTTGCTCTGTCCCTGCTGTCCCACCCAGTACGTCCACTTTTCACATTTCGCCTCACAAGGTGATCCCTAGTCTGCCTCCAGAACACCAGGCCCTGCCCAGTCATGTCTTTCAGCCACTTGATTCTGCACAGTCCTGCATACCTGAGTAGTAACCCTTCGTACCTGTGGCTCATTCCTCATGATTTAGCATGCCTTTCCCAACTTACAACTGCCCTGTTATATCTGATTGAACCCAGACCCTTTTTCTTTTGAACATTTCCCAATGACAGAAATACAATAAAATGTGGTGAACAAGCTTATGTAGCTATTTTTCAGAGTGGCAAACTCAATGTCAGAAAGGACGAGATCGTAGCCGATGGGGCCTGACTCACCTGGGCACACACAGTTGCACCTGATACCCTGCTGTATGAAATCTGCAGCCACAGACTTTGTGAGGCCAATCACAGCTGCCTTTGTTGTGCTGTACACACATCTGTTCTCAACTCCTGAGGGTGAAGGCAAGGTTCAATAATTGATGGAATCAAAAACATAGTTTTCTTTACGAAGTTAACACAAATAGCTTCCCCCAATAGACATTACAGGCTTCCTTCCAACTTCCCCTTTACAAAAATTGCTATCAGGTGTTCTCCTTTAATAAGGCCAGTTTCTGAATCTAGGAAGATAGTATCAGTATAGCACAACTTCATAGAGACTCGGGTGTTGAAATGCTGCACTTATGTAACAGCAGTAGCCTTAGTTTTTCATCTTCACTCAGTATAATCCCTAGGCAGATTCCAAAGGAAAGTAAGAATCAAGAACAAAACAATACAACAAAGGCCTGGGCCCTTCACCACATTCTTCCTTAGGCATGTTGAATGTGTACATCCTTGTAGTGAGAAGGACGGTCACCTCAGCAGCAATTTCATTTTAAACTCACAAATCCTTCTGTGCCAGTCTGTGCCATTATCTGCATTTTGCACTGCTATCTTGGTCTTTCAGCTTGATTTCTCCCTCATGGCCCAGATCAATTAATTGTCTTAGTAAAGCATTCCATAAACCCACAGGCAGTTATTTTTCCTGTTGGGACAGCTCCTTCGGCAAACCTCTGTTATGATACTATAGCACTACAGAAGTCTTAGTAAAGCATTCCATAAACCCACAGGCAGTTATTTTTCCTGTTGGGACAGCTCCTTCGGCAAACCTCTGTTATGATACTATAGCACTACAGAAGCACTACAGAAGCCTGCCTGGCTCCCCCTTGTGGACTGTGAATTCTTTGGTGGGTCTGGGTACATGATGGGTGCACAAAACATCATTTTTAACTAATTACATGACAAATGTTTTCTTCTCGAGTTCAATGTTCATTTTTATATCCGCTAGAAGGCATTAGAGAAGACAAAACCCCTGCAAATTTGTATTTCATTTTATCACCAGCTCACGTTTAAAATGAAAAGTCTAATGCCTAAAGAACTGAATAATTTTTTAAAAAGCAGTTTTGAAATTATGTGAGGATTTAATGATCTTTGCTATGCCTGTTCCCGAAACCCATAGCTTGTAACTGTGTGTGTGTGTATGTGTGTGAGAGAGAGAAGGAGAGAGAGAAGGTCACAATCCTCTAAGAAAAACAGACCTACCTTTGATGCTGGAAGCCACAGAGGACATGTTGATAATATTGCCAGATTTCTCAGCAAGCATCTGCCAAAACAAAACAAATACAAAAAAATCCCATTCTGCAGGGTATAAATACTACCTGGTTAAAAGATTTGCATTTGCATTTACTTACTGTTTGCAGAAACAATTAAATCATCTTCTTAGCTATTAATATTACATTCAGTTAAGCAGTCTTTCTTTTATTTTCTTTTTTCTTTGAGACAGAGTCTCACTTTGTCATCCTTGGTAGAGTGCTATGGTGTCATAGCTCACAGCAACCTCAAACTCTTGAGTTCAAGCGATCTTGCCTCAGTTTCCGGAGTAGCTAGGACTATAGGCACTCTCATCAATGCCTGGCTAGTTTTTCTATTTTTAGTAGAGACAGGGTCTTGCTCTTGCTCAGGCTGGTCTTGAACTCCTGAGCTCAAGTGATCCACCTGCATCAGCCTCCCAAAGTGCTAGGATTGCAGGTGTGAGCCACCACACCCAGCTCAGTTACTCAGTTAGGCAGTCTTGACAGTAAACCCACAACACCTCATTAACCGTTGCTAGGAATTGGTGGCTTGTGTACACACAAATTAGGTTTCCTGAGGGGATTACCATCTTCCCATGATGCAAGGGCATTAGCAAGACCAAGAATTAACTCTGAGCTAAATGAAATGGGAAAGAATGTTAATCGTTACTGTGTGTTCCAAATACTAGGAGACTATGTCTCCGTTCAACACGTATTTGTTGAATACCTACTGTGATCAGGTATTGGGCTAGGTCCAGGAGATTGAAAGATCAACGTCATAGTCCCAGCCTTCAGGGTGGCATATCCCCCATGCAGTGACAACAGAGCCCTCCACAGAGCTCCAAGAGGAGGGTAGGGCAAGAATAGACCAGTTCAGGCAAGGAGACACTGAGAGGGGACTTTCTGAAGAGGAACTATATGGGCTGACTTTTGAAAACTAGAGTACTAGTCAGAAAAATAAAGGGTGTTTTAAGCAGAGGGTGCCACATAAAAGCTTCATCAGGAACTGGAGGAGGGGCTGGGTCTGTCTGGAATGCAGGTATGAGAGGGAGGAAGCTGCAGGGGTCAACAGGGACTAAATTTAGGAACTTAGGTGTTACCCTGAAGGCAATGCAGTGACACTGAGGGTTTTAAAGCAGAGGAGGAGTGGCATGTTCCGATTTGGGGATTACAAAGCTTACTCCGGTGCCACACAGAGATTGGTGGAGGCTGATCCAGGATTCAGAAAAGGTGTGTGGACCCGCCAAACAACAATGACAGCTGCAACAAAAAATAGCCCGGCGTTGTGGCGGGCGCCTGTGGTCCCAGCTACTTGGGAGGCTGAGGCAGGAGACTCACTTGAGCCCAGGAGTTAGAGGTTGCTGTGAGCTGTAATGCCACGGCACTCTACCCAGGGGGACAGCTTGAGGCTCTGTCTCAAAAAAAAAAAAAAAAAAAGAAAGAAAGCAAAGCTGTAGAAATACTTGCGGGTACCAGAGGAGGATGGCAGTGTTTCCTAAAACTCCTCCTTCAGAATCTCCCCACTAACATGTAAATTTATAAAGAGGAGGGTGTTGGGCTGTTTGTCTTCCTAGACAGTATACACAGTAGGTAGTCAATACATTCTGATGAATTAGGATCTCCTGGGGTGCCGGTTTACAATGCAGATTGCTAGGCCCTGCCTGAGACCTAAAGGAATGCATAAGGAAAAAAGCTACTCTAGGCTCGGTGCCTGTAGCTCAGTGGTTAGGGCGCCGGCCATATACACCAGGGCTGGCGGGTTCAAACCTGGCCCAGACCTGCTAAACAATAACAACTGCAACAAAAAAATAGCTGAGCATTGTGGCGGGCACCTGTAGTCCCAGCTACATGGGAGGCTGAGGCAAAAGAATCACTTAAACCCAAGAGTTTGAGGTTGCTGTGAGCTGTGACACCATAGTACTCTCTACCAAGGGTGACATAGTAAGACTAAAAAAAAAAAAAAGCTACTCTGAATTACAAAGTTTTCAAATAAACTTGCCCCAATTATAATATGTATGTATGGCTTCAAGAATATAAATATATGCATATATTCAAGGGCACAGACACCCATGGATGTTTTGGAGGAAGAAACAGGAAGTTGAGAGAAATCCTGGCTACTGGGCACTAAGTTCTCAGCGCACCTGCTGACTGGGCAGGGGACCCAAACAATGAGTAGGAGGTGATGGAGGGCAGGAGAGCAGCGGAGAGTCTCAACAACTAGTGGGGGAAAGGAAAGACCACAAACGATAGAAGACAGGAGGAAAGCCAGGACGTGTTTGTGGTATGTGTTTAAAAATCAAGAAAATCAAGTCAAGAACAGGTTTCTAAAGAGAAGTCTCAACAGGCAGTGTAAAGGGTCTAGAGGGAAAACAACCCCCTCAGTTTTGTTGGGGTGAGTTTCTTTAGCAGAAACAGAGGTAACTCAAATGTGTAGGGGCTGTTTTTTTTTTGTTGTGGGTTTTGTTGTTATTTTTTCTTGAGACTGAATCTCACTCTGTCATCCTAGCTAGAGTGCCATGGCACTACATGGTGTAATGCTCTTCCTGGCTCCCCATGTGACAGCCCTATCTGGCAAGTATGACTATAAAGTGAAGTGTCTCATACATTATAACATTATATACGAACAATCTCCTGGAAACTTGGGTGGGGGCTAGAAAGGCCCCTTACAATCCCCCCTGCTGTTTGTAGATAGTCTAATTCTGACCCAGCCTTTCTGTCCCATTGGTCAGAGCTCAGCCATTAACCGTGGCAGAAACTGGCACATTGGATTTCTAATGGTTCAATGGTTGACCTCCACCTGGATCAACAACCTTGATTCATTTATTCATTCAAATGTTTGCTGAGCATTTCCATGTGCTGGGGACTCTCATAAGATACAGCAAGAAAAAAAAAAATACCAAGACAACAAATAAACAAATGCCAACAACAAAGAAGTCCCCAAATTCTTTACCCTAACAGGTTTTGTCTTCTAGTGGACCTTGGATTTTGCATTAACTTCACACATAATTTTCAACTCATTCTCCATCTTTTCACTGATCTTGCAGACTTGGAATGCTTTTCTGTGTATCTATCCTTGAACAAAAAATTTCCTACAAGTATGCCTATATTCTGACCACCTGACCTTTGAGATCTGTCTAGACTTCAAATCCTGGCTTCCCCTGGAAAGTTCTAACCTGGCATATGTGCGTCATAGTTAATGACACAGACAATCCTAGATAATTAGGGTTGGAAGTGATTGTGTAATCTATCACCTGCCCTTTCAATAGAAGAAATAGACACCGAAGGTGCCAGTGCCATCTCCCGGGTCACATGGCCAGTCAGGAGCAGAGCTCAGATTCTGTGTAAGGACTTCTGGTGACTGTGTCTGAGACCAGGAGTCAAGCTGGTCAGGTCACTTTAAACAAGTGGCACTGCCACTTTCTAATTCTACTCCCTAGTCACTAATATCCCTTGGGACTTTTAACAAATATAGTTGTTTGGCTCGAATGGATAATTGTTAAGATGTTTTAAATCATAGGCAAATTCACTAATTTGAAAATTAGTGTTCCTATATTTTAAAAGGTAACACAAGTTTAAATTTCACTCCACTGTACCTCACCCCTACCCTCTTATTTGTAATGCACTTCAGACATAAAGCGTGCTGGTTCTGCAAATGAGTCTTGTACACGTGCAACAGTCTCTCCTGCCATGACCTAAGTTTTCCACTTCTGCCGCAGCTTCTGCTCCACCACAATATCCTATGCTAAGGATCTGTTTTCAAAAAACACATTCAAGTTCCAAATAATACAGATTCTCATAAATGCCAAATAGGCAAAAAAGGCAACGTACACTTATAAAAAATTTGCTAGTTCAATTTTGTGGACCCACTGAGATCCCTTCTAGGCGCTAAGCAAGTAGATTTGGGGGAAAAATATCCTTCAGTACTAAGTTAGTTTCTCTAATTTTCCTGGATCCAATTTGACGTGAGGTTGAATATTCAGAGAAAAGCATCAGCCCTGCTGTGCCACTTTCTCCTGCTCTGTGTTGGACAGTATTCGGCACCGTCAGTCAGCTAACCTGGCTAGGATGGAAGGGAAAGATGATTCTTCTGCACTTCATTTGGGTTCAGTTTATAACTTTGAGCTGAGCCAGGGCTGTACTTAGTCAACCCCTTTAACTATCTGAGCCCAGGCTGCTGCTACAACCAGCTTCCAAGCTCAAAGTTGGCGATACATGTTTCCATATTTATACGCCCCAGAGCAAGGAACTAAACAAAACCTACATAGTGTTTTATACCAAAAGACACTTGTTTGTAAAATAAAATTAGAAACATTGAGGAGATGTGTGAAGGCTTGAGATTCAACAGAGGCACACTCAGGAGGGAGGCTCTCTTTAGGACACACTGGCTCTCACCTCTGTGGCTCAGCTAAAAACAAGAGTGAAAGGGGAAGCCTCAGCACACACTTCTGTGCCTACACCTTGAGATTCATGAAGGGGCAGAACTTTCAGGCTTCAAACCTTGGTTCTAACCACTGGCTAGTGTAACCTTGGGCAAGTTACCTAACCTCTCGGTTCATCTTTTGTACAGTGGGTGATAAAACAGTACCTACGTCATAGGATCAGTCCAGTCCTATGTGCCTCCTTGCTGGCCCTTTTGCCTGGAGCTCTCTCCCCAGGTATCTAAATGATCAGGTCCCTATCTTCATTTGAATCACTATGAAAATTTCACCTTACCCAGTGAGGTCCAATAGGGCCTCACTGATAACCTAGCTTCTTTTTCTTCATACTACTTATAAACACATATTATATGTCTATTTAATTACTTATTATTGTCTCTTACCCCCAATAAAGGGACTTCCCTTACAAAGGGACTTTGTTTAGTTCATTGATGTGTTTCCCACGTCCCACACAGAGCCTGGCATGTAGAAAGTGCTTAACAAAGATTCCCTGAATGCTGGGCGCCATGGCTCATGCCTGTAATCCCAGCACATTGCGAGGCTGAGACCAGAGGAACACTTGATCCCAGGAGTTTGAAACCAGACTGGATGACACAGCCAGACTATGTGTCTACAAAAACATAAGAAAAATTAGCTGGACATGTTGTTGCAAGCCTGTAGTACCAGTTACTTGGGAAGCTGTGGTAGAAGAATCCCTTTATAAGCCCAGGAGTTTAAAGATACAGTGACCTATGAAGATGCCATTGTAATCCAGTCTGGTGACTAGAGTAAGATTCTGTCTCCAAAAAACCAAAATAATATATATATATATGTGTGTGTGTGTGTGTGTGTATGTATATGTATGTGTGTGTGTATGTATATGTATATATGTGTGTATACATATATATTTCTTGAATGGATGAACTGGAAGGTTAAATGAACGCCTTGGTATGAATGTCCCATGTATATTTCTGGTGTCCAGCATGGAGCCCTAAGTGGAGCTCATGCCAGCAGTGGGGCTGTCTTACTTTAGGAAGGAAGGCCTTGATCATCAGGTACATGCTGCGCACGTTGAGGTTCATTGAGAAGTCCCAGTCTTTCTCTTCACAGTCTAGGATAGTTCCATGATGGACAAAACTGAAAATACAATTAAACGGGGGTGGGTGGGAGGGGATTACCATTAAAAATTTCCATTTCCTGATCACTTCAACTATCACTTATTAATTTAACCCAAGTCTCCCTTATCAAGACTTTTAAACAATTCAAACACAGTATTCCTTAATATTTTAGGTTAGTTAGAATCCCAACAACTTAGGTTAGAACATGGCATCTGAAAACAGCATCCCTCTTTTACAAGAAGGCAAGAATTTGGGGTCATCAAACATAGCAAGGTCTGTATCAACTGCATTGGAAACATCAACGCCAATGTCATTAAAAACAAACAACAAATACAGGAGAACAGGACATGGGCCTTACCTGACTCCTACTGCAAGAGCAACAGTGCCCTCAGGTGGCACAGATTTAGCATTCTGAAGGGAAATCAAAATTGCAAGGAAAACAAGCGTCTCACCATCTCCGAGCAGTGAAGAATTACGCAGTTCTAACACATGCGATGTTACATGAGCGATGTTAAGACTGAACCAAACAAACCTACAAAAAGACCTCTACTCTTTCAGTCACACTTTCTGAAGGAAGCTTCCTAAACATTGGAACCCTCTCGATTTGGTCCTCTGGACTAACTAGACGATGCAAGTAATTATAAAATATCGTTGGCTGTGGCTGCCATGCACCACAGTACCTCCAGCTCTACTGGAATGTCAGTTTGCTGGCAGCAGGATACACGTAATGTATTTCTATATCCCCTACACTGGTGAAAATTTAAAGGAAGCTCAAAAACTCACTTTGCTAACTTTTTTATGCCTCTGGGTATGTTCTTATATGAACATGGGCAAATTACTTATAAAATAGATCATCAGAAATTACTGCTTTAATTTAATTTCCATACACGTAACACATGATCCAGCTTTGTATCAGTACCGATTGTCTTGAGTAGACCTCAACTGCCCTAGGTCATTTCAACCTCTGTAGTTGTCTTAATTGCTGAATTTATATGTAATGAAAATGTTGCCTTGCCAGATGCAGTGACTCACACCAGTAATCCTAGCACTCTGGGAGGCTGAGGTGGGTAGATTGCCTGAGCTCATGAGATAGAGCGAGACCCCATATCTGAAAATAGCCAGGCATTGTGGCTGGTGCCTGAGGCGGAGGCAAGAGAATCACTTAAGCCCCAAGAGTTGGAGGTTGCTGTGAACTATGATACCACAGAACTCTACCCGGGTGACAAAGTGAGACTGGGTCTCAAAAAAAAAAAAAAAAAAAAATGCTGCCTAAAATCTAGCCCTGTTTCCCAAGGAATATGCCATGGTTCACAATGAATGATTTTGCCATATGATCAAAATTCTTTTAATAAAATTCCTAGAAAATTTTGTATAAGGAAAGTAAAATTAAAAAGTTACAAATTACCCAGCAACATTGAAGAGAACATCGAGTCTCTCAATTTCATTGGCGAACTGTTCAATCTGTTTCTTCTTTGTGACATCCAAGACCCGAATTTGAATACCTAAAAAAATAAAAACGAAGACATTACTTACCTATAACCATAACAAACGTTTAGCTTTGGAGATTGGCTATTCTGAAGTCTGCAATGTGAAGACTGCAGCATCCAGTTAGGCTTCATAGGATTGTTGACCTAATTACTAGGGTCTCATTATAAACTTAAACCCCATCTGCACCTCCCCATAACACACCGTCCCTCTTCCTCTGTGTCCAAGTGGAGTAATGAGGGGCTTTTCCAAACGATGACCCTACAGTGAGGTCTGACTGACCTGCAGTGAAAGTGCCCCAGTAAGCCAGGAGGAGCACCTGAGAGTGGGCCTGCCCGGTGTAGCCCTCCCCTGCCCCAGAGACTGAGCTGCTGGTACCTGCACAGCACGCTGAATTCTGTCTGAGTGAGGGGCGGGAGAGGGCAGGGGCCGTGGATATAAGAGTGTTTCTATTTGTGAGCTTCCCCTTCATGCCATTTCTGTTAATTATTAGAAAGGACTCTGAGAGTCAAGGTATCAGCACGTATTTCAGGACTAAATTTACATTGCAAGGAGAACTGAGGGGGTCAGGAGAGGGGATAACACTTGACGGCTAGACGCAAGAGATCCGCACGGAGCCTGAGAGATTCACGCTATACTAGTTACTACAACACCCTGAATGTTCTCTAGTAAAAGCAGCATTTTAAAAAAAAATATGGTCTATTTATTAATACTTTTGAACATAGAAAAAAAAGATTAATAAAGAAAGGGAAGACTGAAATTCTGTTTCAGAAACACCTTTTTACCTTTGCACTTTCCTAGTATAGCAGCTTTACTTTGATTTGTTGAAATTAGAACTTAACATATTCTTTTCTTTTTTAAATCAGCCAGAAGCCCCAGTGAGAACTGGACTTGTGACCCCTGTTTACAAGACCAGTGCTCTAACCACTGAATTATGGAGCCCAGCACTTGACATGTTCTAATTCAGATAACTCCTCAAGGAACTTAGTTGTGTTTGATTACATAACCTGCCCTATTTGGCTGGAACAATGATCTCCCAAATGGGAGATCTCTGTTTTCTTTCACAGTAACTGTAACTGAAGTCCTTTGATGTGAGAGTCAGGTTCTGGGTGGTGCACACCTGAATAATTCGGGTAATCTTAGAGTTTCTCATCAACATGTGTGATTTTAGGGCTGAGCTGTCTCCAGCATGGCAGCTACTAGACACTCGTGGCATCAAACATGTGAAAAACAGCTAGTGTGACCCGGAACATGCTGTTCATGTAAACACACATGAATTTTAAAGATTTAGTATGAAAATGTTGGAATGCTGGTCAAAGGTACTATCTTGTAGTTATGAGTAAGTTCTGAAGACCTAATGTACATCTGTACTAGTTACTAAATTATTAATTGCAGCAGAGTAACCATAGTTAATAATAATGTATTATATGCTTGAAATTTAATAAGATAGTAAATGTTAAATATTCTCACCAGACTCACACACATACACATGTGTGCACACACACAAAGGTAACTACTTGAGGTGGTGGATGTATTAATTAGCTTGACCGTGACAATCAATTTATAGTAAATGTCAAAACAGCCTGTTATGTTCCCTGAATATATGCAATTTTTGTCAATTATACTGCTATACAGCTGAAGAGAAAATTGATGATGGAAGCTTATAATAACATTCTAATTTTTAAATAAAAAAAAGTATAAAAAAGAATATAAAATATTCTATTCATAATTATTTATACTCAGTGCACTTTGAGATGATACTATAAGGTATATTTAGATGAAATAAAATACATTATGAAAATCGATTCTAACTTTTTTCTTTTTACTTCTTTAATGTGGCTACTAGAAAATGTAAAATTATATATTGGCTCACATCACACTGTTATTGGACCGTACTACCCTAGGGGCAGGCACAGAAGTGAAAAGTTGTTACTGACAGTTAACAAAACCATTGTTAAATTTTCACATGTAACTCTGTAATTAAGAATGGAATCCCTCAACATGCTGACTAAATAAAAAAAATTCAGTACACATTTTCAACGTTTTTAATGCGTTTAAGTTCATAGATTTTTATCTGTAGGTTCACAGAATAGAGATCTGATATCAAGAGAGCTGGACTATAAAGAGAGAAGGCCCATGGAGCTAAGCGGCTAATTTTCTTTCAGCACATCAGTATCATTCTTTTTTTTTTTTTGAGACAGAGCCTCAAGCTGTCGCCTTGGGTAGAGTGCTGTGGCATCATAGCTCACAGCAACCTCCAACTCTTGGGCTCAAGCAAGTCTCCTGCCTCCGCCTCCCAAGTAGCTGGGACCACAGGCGCCCACCACAACTCCCGGCTATTTTTTTGGTTGCAGCCATCATTGTTGTTTGGTGGGCCCAGGCTGGATTCAAACCCGCCAGCTCAGGTGTATGTGGCGGGCGCCTTAGCCACTTGAGCCGCAGTGCCGAGCCCAAGTATCATTCTTTTATAATACCTTGCAGATTCCGGATCCCAAGATCAAGCTGCTAAGTTGCTTACCCGGGTACTTTTCCAGCTCCTGAAGTTTGGACTCATTGATATCTGTGGCTATGACTCTGGCACCTTCTCTTGCAAAAGCCTGGTGAACACGAAGTACAAATAAATCCTTTGTTTATTTATTAAACTGCCGTCATGAATGGCAAGCCATCTGGCCCCTTGTCGTATTATCTTATTTCTCTTTTATCTTACTTCCATTGTTGTCATCCCTATAAAATGGGGGGAATTTCAAACTATCTAGGGTCACCCCCTTCTCCATGGTTACTACTGTTATTTATCAAATTAGAACAAGGTGACATACATTGTGCTTATCATCTGAATTTGTCCCTTTAATACCAAACAAAATTGTGATTTTACAAGTCACTGCTATGCTGGGATAAAAGACTACATGCCATTTCTGGGCAAGTGACTGACCTCCAAATAGTAAGGAAAAATTCTTTTCCTCTTAAGAATACACTAGTGTTTTCGTAAATGTCAAACTGTAGCTTTCCATTATACTTAAGGTGTATCATTAGCTCAAGAGGGAGGATAAGGTGGGAAAGTTGATATAAATCAGGAGACAAAGGCAATCCAACCATCTTAAAACTCTGGCGTCTATATGTCAGTTGACATAATATCAGAACGCGTGCACCCCTGAAAAGCCCCTGCAGATTTATTATGATGAAATAACGAAGCTGAGGCAGAATTAAGTTTCTCAGAGTCAAAGGTGATCACTGATGTCACATAATAAACACGTGAAGCATTCATTCCTTCTTCTGCCTGGGGTCAGGAATATTGACTTACTTATTTATTTTGTAACTTAATACAACAAAAGCAAAAAAGTAAAAAAAAAAAAAAAAAAAAAGCAGAACAGAATTAAATAACCCTGGCATAAGCCCACATAATTCAATACCTCAAAAGTTAAGGACCAAAGATAGTAACTTACTAAGGCAGTTGCGCGGCCGATCCCCTGAGCAGCAGCCGTCAGGACAATGACTTTCCCATCAAGTCGACCCATAATGAAACCTGTAATTTAATCTAAAAACACAGGACTTTAAGCAGGTGTCCGCAAACTATGGCCCGTGGGCCACATGCAGCCCGCCTAGGACATTTATCCAGCCCGGCGGATGTTATAACTGCCGCTGCCTGTCCTGCTTAGCAGCCAACTCGTCCCGGGGACTGCAGTCTGGCCCTCCAACAGTTTGAGGGACAGTGAACTTGCTCCCTGTTTAAAAAGTTTGAGGACCCCTGCTTTAAGGGGTTACACTGTAGCACATGGTCCCGTGCAAGCAGTAACAGCTGGAATGAACAGTTCCGTGGGCTCCTTTAAGAACTTGAAGGCACTGTCTCTGGGCAAGTAGTCCCATCATCTAAACTCTCCATGAGGCTCGGCACCCATAGCTCAGTGCTTAGGGCACAGGCCACATTTGCTGGGGCTGGGTTGGAACTGGGCCACAGCCTGCTACAAACAACAATGACAATGATAACAAAAAGACAGCCGGACATAGTGACAGGCGCCTGTAGTCCCAGCTACTTGGGAGGCTGAGGCAAGAGAATTGCTTAAGCCGAAGAGTTTGAGGTTGCTGTGAGCTGTGATGCAATGGCACTCTACTGAGGGAGACATTGTGAGACTCTGTCTCAAAAATAAATAAATGAATAAATAAATAAAAATAAACTCTCCAAGAATTCTGATTGTTACTCTTGATACCTATCTAAGTAGATCTAGTAAGTAGATCTTACTCTAGTACTTACCTAATAGTGGGTACCTTAGTGTAACCCACTGAAATGACAGCCATTGGACTTTAGCTCAACTTTTGCTTCCTTCAGTACCCAGAGAGGACAGCTTCTGCCATTGAGACTGTGCTCATTCCCACCACCATTCTCCCCACCGCCCCTACACACATTACTATGGCATTGTTTGTGTCCTTAATACTCAGGGTTGTGTCTTGATTAATCTGGAAACTTCTGTTGAGGTTTGCACTATCAATGCCTTATGCTTTTTCCTTACCTCTTGAAAAGACTTATCGATGGCTTCAGCAATTCATTGAACAAAGGTATGGAAAATCAAATTGAGTCCAATACCCTCATGTTACAATTGAGGAAACTTCTTGCACCTGCCCAAGATCACAGAGCCAGGCGGCGGCAAAGCCAGAAGTAAACTTGGACTTGCTTAGTCTTGCTGTGTGAACAATGCTGCTGATCTCTTTTAAAGCTTAAACATGCAGTGGTAACACTTTAACAAACATTGTCATTAATTTCCAAAAGAGGGAGGTTGAGAAACTTGACCCAGAGGAAATTTGATATGCATCAGGTATTTGGCCAATGCTTGAATTGTACAGGTGTCCCAAAGGTTGCCCATAACATTGCCATACATACAGAAAAGGAGAAATTGTAGCTAAATGTACCTTTATATAAAAAAGTTCAGTATAAAATTTTACAAAGACAGAGCCAACACATAGAAAATATTTTGTAAATATTTTGTACTGAAAGTTTTGTAAATAAAGGTACATTTAGTTATAATTTTCCATTTTCCCTATTTTTTGGTGACTTTATGGACAAACTTTGGGTCACTTTGTAGATCAAAGGAAGAGAAAAATGGCCAGTGATATAGCTGGGACTGGGGAGTAGTCAAATGACATTAAATGAGCCCGTCTTCAGGAACACAGTCTCCCTTTCTTGCAGTGCTCTGTCTGTCCTCAGCGTGCACCTCTGACCTTTACACCAGGTCCCAAAGTGGCTACTGTGTCCTCAGCATTATACTGCATTCTAGGCAAAAAGAAAAGGATGAGCAAAAGCCAAAGCCTTTCAGAGAGGGCTCACTCTTCTATTCAAAAAGGAAGCCCTCCCAGAAAGTCTTACCTACACTGCATTGCTCACCTCTGCCACCTGACCACCTCCAGCAGCAAGGGAGGCAAGGCCAGGCTTGACCAGTGAAAGGCGGGGGTGGGGGTGGGGTAAAGTGAGCTGGACAGTGTTGGTAGCACATCTGGCATAACCATCACTCCGCCCGATTACCTGTCCACTTGCCCGATAAAGTACGTTATGCTAGCTTTGCCTGGAGGGCTCAGATCATCTTGCCCTTCCTTTTGAAATTTATCTCTGTTCTCTTCAGCTGTATTTTCTTTTAATTTTAGCAGTCTGAGGAATGTGAGATATAAGATCTAAACTTTTTTTTTTTTTATTAGTTTGGTGTTTTTTTTTTTTTTTTTTTTCTGAGACAAGGTCTCATACTTTTGCCCAGCTGGAGTGCAGTGGTGTCCTCACAGCTCACAGCAATCTCAAACTCCTGGGCTCAGGGGACCTCCCATCTGAGCCTGCCAAAGCGCTGGAATTACAAGTGTGGGCCACTGAGCTTAGGCACCCTCCACCCCTGACCCTCCCATTTTCCTTTTTCTTTTCCTTTTGTTTTTCTTTAATTCTTTTTCCTATACCCAATGTGCTCGTCCCTTTTAACATCCACACTTTAGTCTAAGCTCCACCATACCAAGGGGCTGATTACTCCTGTAGGCAACAGGGTTTGAAGATATTATGGAAAGAACCAGCCAGGATCTGACAGCTGTTGCTGCACTGCCGAGTTTATGTGGAGGCCACTTTCCCAGGTGCCGTTCTGAGCCAGATTTTGCCCATGGCTACTAAGGCCCACCCACTTCTGGGGGATGCAGAGCTCCCTCCCCACAGCTGACTTCAACTGGAGAGGCCCCGGACCACCTTGCTGAAGGGGCCCTGAAAGCACAGCAGTGTGCCCCATTTCCACCCACCTGACTTCCTTCTCTTCCTCCCTTGCCTGAGGATTTGAAAGGAGGTCCGCTCTCACAACCTTAACTACTTCCTTCCTCATTTTCTCTCACACCAGTATTTCCCCTAAGAAAATTCTGTGTATGTTGGCTTCTGTCATCAGAGTCTGTTTCCCACAGGACCAGACTAACACAGCCACCTTATAAGCCTAAGCTCCAGGGACCAGCTTACAACTCACTGATGTTCCCCAATTATGTTCGCATTTGTTAGGCGATGGGGAAACTGAGCTTTCACAGTGCTTGACCTACTTTGAGGCAATGAACTTTCAGTGATTTTCCCCCCCTCTTCTTAGAGATAAAATTTCACTTTACATGTAAAAAGAGTTAAGAGGACAATTCAAAATATTCTTTAGAAATAGACTCCAATCATCTTTACCCTCCCCTAATCCTGAGCATAGTATATTGAAAGCTGTTATTTTACAACACTGTTGCGTGATAGTGACATGTGGCACTGCAGAGGCTCATGTCAAAGGTTTAGTCAGGAATCTTTGACTCCCCAAAGAAGCACTTACTGAACAACTGCCGAAGCACAAAGCAACCTTTTTGTTCACTCTGAAACCTTAGCTGGTCTCTTTCTGGAATCAGATTTTAAGACCAAAGTCTTAACACTAGCTAAACTGCATTCTCAAACTAAAACAAATTTCTTTGGAAAAATGAGAGCAAACTATTTGAAAAGGTAAAATGTGGCAACTTTCAATAAATCCATGGCATTCTTAATACTGTAATCAGCAAGTTTTGATTTGCAGAGATACCAAAAGAGCACATTCAGGAGCTTGAAATGTTTTCATAAACCAGGAAGAAAAATGTTGGGACGGATACTGTAAAAATCTTCTTTTCTTTAGCAAAAAAACTTATAAATAAACCAGAGTTTCAAACTCCTTCAAAATCCAACTTTATCCTGATTTAACAACTAAAACTAATCCTGAAATAGGCAAAGTGCATAACAAAGCAACACCTGAAATTAACCTCCCACCCTCAGTCCAAAGTTTCATTTAAAAACTATTAGGAAATCTTACTTTAAAGCAGAGAGGGGATGGCGTCTCCCAGAGCTTCCAAACTTGTGCTCCTAGGGCAGAAGCAAGTCAAGTGCTTAAAATTCACTCTGGGATTTGTAGTCCGGGCTTCTCAGTCTCGCCTGTCGAACACTTTCTGGATGTACGTGCTGCCATCTAGTGGAGCTCGCGCAGAACTAACTCGGGGTAGAAGGCGAATGTGGAAAAGTACAACTTGCTTGGGACAGGGAAATCATTTCCTTTCCTTCAGCCCGTGTCTCTGTCATTTGTTCGTGCCTACTCTGTGCAAGATTTAATAAGCTG